ATATTGTTCTATGTACAATCCTTGTTTTATTGATTGCATATAATATTTTAATTTTCTGAGATTGTGGATTTGGGGTTTTCATGAGCTGTAAGCCATATTCATCACAATTATGACAAATCACAGCTTGAACTATCTTGCTTTGCATGTAATGAGTCTATCTCATATATTAGTTTCACCTTTTAAGGTGCATTACTGAAATAAATGAACTTTTGCACGATACTCTAATTTTTCGAGTTTCACCTGTATATATTTTAGACAATTTATCTATTTCATGGATAAACAGATAGTACTTCAATTTGAAACATTCTTGATATAACAGTGTTCTACGTATTGCATTTTAGGTTTCTTAAATCAAAAATAGAATTTCTAGATTGATCATCTCCTGGCTTAAGTTCTTTATCTGCATCTTTGGAATAAGCATAAATATCAAAACTATAGAAAGTTTACTATTCTGCATATATATGTATGTAGAAATGAATTGGGTACACTATTTTGGATAAAATTAGTGCTATTTGTTTAAAACTGAGTAGCTTCCATCTAGGCTTTATGTATCAGACTCTGAAGATTAAAAAGTATTTTAAATATGTAGATCATTAACTTTATCCCATTGTATCTACAACATAATTTTAACAGATCTAATTATAAATGGCTATAAAAAATAATATATATTTATATATATATATAACCAAGCATGCAGCAACTTGTATTCTTGGGGAAGTCTATAAACTGAAAATTGTCAGCACTCATCCAGATGGAGTTAATCAAGCTTCTGCATATTATGACTTTTCAAGGTAACAGTATACAATTAAACAAACTTAAATTAAAGCTTTTGGGCTCCAGGATTTCTGCAGGAAAATGAGAAGATTAGAAAGGTGGCCTTCAAGAATCCTTTTTCTCACCTTCCTTTCAACCAAGGACAGGTACCAATACTGCGTCAAGTGTAGATTTATGGCCTTCCAAATGTTCCTGTGTTATCATTTTCAGCAGAGATAAGAAAAATCAGCAGTTGTGACCAAACAACATCTCAAGGATATATTCCTATTCCTGCAGAAGCAAGCCAAAAGGAAAGACATTTACTTATATTCTCCTTTTAATTTCTCTTGCATTCATTAGCCATGATCTGTTCTACAGTATGTAGAACTCTGAACCCTCATGCACTAAACTTTGAAAGCATATCCAATTTCTTTTCCACTTGGGGACAAAACCTGATGGAAACATATCGTCTTGTGACAGCACAGTTCTGCATGCTGAACTCATTGAAAGAGCTATGCATTTGGGGGTTAATTCCGATACAGAAGTATGTATGTTTTCTACAGAATGAGGCTACTGATACAATTAGCTCAGCATTTAGGTTATTTAGTTGAATTTCTCAAGGGTCTAGGGCAGGGGTCACCAAACTTTTGGACCTCAGGGACCACTAAATTCTTAATTTTAAATCCCATGGACTACTAATATGGTTTGCCTAATGACTGGCTGGATATGACTAGGTGGTCATGGCCAACTCGATGTCACTCATGTCAAGGGGCGCCTCGCCAGCCTCTCCTCGCCCCTCCCTTCCAGCTACTCCCTGCCTGCCTGCCCTGGGCTCCTTAGGGCCCCAACAGGAAGCAGTTGTTGGAACTAAGCAGCCACCATGAGAAAGAGTTGGCAAAACAGCTGGCTTAGTTCAAATTGTATCTGACTGAGAAGGAGGCTCAGCAGAATCACCTCACTGAGGACTACGAGCATAGGCTTTCCAAGCAGAGGAAAGCCTGCGGGAGTGCAAGGCCAGGTACTGGCATCTGGAAGCTCAGCGGGCTGAGATGGTCAGCCAGTTCCAGGCCATGATACAGTCCCACTGGAACAAGGCCCTCCAGCTCTTTGCCACCAGTGGCACTTCCCTCCAACCTTCACCCAAAAGCCCCACACCAGGAGGCTGAAGCAGACCCCAAGTCGGAAATTCTGCGCCCTCTCCGACCTGCACAAAGACCCCAAAGGGGGAGACTCTCTGCAACAACATAAACGTTCATTGCCATGTATCGGCCCATGGGCCATAGTTTGAGGACTCCTGATTTAGTGCAATTATAAAAAATGCGGACCACTAGTTGATGACAGCTGCTCTAGGGCCCTCTAGTAACAGAAAAAGCCCTCTAGTAACAGCTAATTCCTTTTAGCAACTTGGGGAACAAAAGAGATATAAGAAAAAAGAGGGTGTCCCCTCAGTTTTAGCTCTGGCACTATACAGTTCCAAACAGATTGCTAATCAGTGGTAGTTCTCCAGGATTCTTTCCCATTTATAATGATCTGAGCCTTAATCTGTGCCGTAATCATGTGCATTAGGAGTAATCATGTGCATTAGGAGTGCATTATAAGCTTTCTGCCAGGTTTAACCACTGTATGCTGACACAAAACAGACTTTGAACTTATGCTCTGATTCATCACTATATACTTTTGGCCAAGAGGAAATTTAAGTCTAGACTAGGAATATAAAATAATTTTGCCCTTAGTCTTCTTGGAAGAAATTGAGTTGGCAGGAATTGATCTTAATGTTATCATAGTAGGATGACAACATAAAATGAAATCTGGGTAGAATTCAACCTTTCTTCCCAAAGCTGACTCATTTTAGAAAATGTGCAAAGTGTAAAAAGCTCACGTCCTTTTCTTTATTTTTACAGTAAAAATGCCTTGTTTGCTCACAGAAGGTCAGGGCCTGTCCCAGAAACTGATTTACTTTCACAGCACTTCCTGGAATTATGTTGTGAGTATGCAGTGCAAGTGAACAGAGATGAAGCAGTTTATGAGAAATGTACATTTGTGAGATGTTACTGTGAAAAAGTAGGGGAAAAAATCTAATCCTCCTATATATTTGCAAAGGAAATTACCCCATGTAATACATTAAGCTGTACAATTTATGCCCAATATTTAAGAATGCAGACCTACCTTTGACAGAATGGAATGGAAATCTAGCAAGCAAAATGGAAAACAAACTAAATGTACAGATATTTGAATGTCCTTAGAATGTCCTTAGATCACCAAGCTTGAGTAAATCATCTGAATTAGATTTTCTTCCCGATTCTGAGGAAAAAAGTGGTTGTACCCTCGAGAATTGCAATTCATTTGATTCTTGTTTTTCCACACTGAGTTACATGAGACCTACACATTTGGATTCAGAGAAATGTTAGAAGAATGGTCTCCAATTACGATGATTCATTTTAAAATTGATAAATCACATGCATTTGAAGGATTTATAGGGAGGAAAATGTAGGGAAGCTATGATAAGATCAATCATTTATTTACTTCTTTTTAGATTACACTGCTCAACTCAAACAGTGCTGGCTCCTAACCACACAGTAGATCATTTTTTAAAAGAGTAACCTCCCTCCCATGTAATAAAAGGCAATATAAAAATACAAACATAAAATGGGAAATCAACTGTAGAACAAAATAACCACAGGGGGACTCCCATTAAGTTGGTCCCTAATGTTTGTGGGAAGACAAAAGGTCTTACTAACTTTTCTAAAAATGAAAAGAATAGGGCCCTGTTGTATATTGGAGAGGGGGAGATTGTTCCAGAAAACAGGTGAACACACTGGAAAGTGTCCACAAGAAAACCACATTTCTTAGGTTACATAAGGTAGGAAAATTTTAAAAAAGGAATCTGGAGCATTCCTTTCCTGTGGAAGTTATTGGGAAAAGTAACCTGGTCTATGCCATGTAAGGCTTTAAAGGGAATCACCAGCATCGTGAACTAAACCCAGAAGTCTGTCAGGAACCAGTGTAAACAGTAACACGTTTGGCCCAATATACTGTTCAATGAAGCAGGTGCTGTGAGAGCATTGCCACAGCTAGTGTTCTGCTGAAAAGTTGCTCAGTAGCTTCATGAGTTCTCAGCTGAATCACAGCTCCAACTGCAGTACTGCAACACCACCAATGCTGTTCATCCTGGCTTCACCACAACCGCCTCTCTTTGGATGCTCAGTAATCGGCATATGCTTCCAAAGGTAGTTCTGACTGTCTGAGGCACCTGGAAAACCAGCTCAGAGTCCAGCAGTCTTTTTCCATCAGGAATCAAAAGCCACCTGCAACTATAAGAGTCCCGGTAATATAAGATATTTATGACAATATTGGCAGAAAGAATGAAACCAATGGTAAGCTATGAAGAACTATTAGATAGTCAAGGAAAATTAAAATCAAACCAAGAACTAAAGGAAAATGGAATCATAATTGATTGATGGCCATATTTGCAAATTCAAAATAAATATAAAAAGATTTAAAAGATTTTGGCTTTGACAAAGGGCAGAACCAATTAGATAAAATATTAATGGGACCGGAACAAAAACTTATAACTAAAATATACAAATATTAGATTTCAAAATGGAAGAGGAAACAGTCAAAGGCACAATGATTGCATGGGCACAGAATTTTGGATACACTATAGAATTAGAGGAATGGGAGAAAATATGGAATGTAAATTATAAGTTAACGGTATCTGCAGCATACAAAGAAAATATGTACAAAATGTTTTATAGATGGTATTTAGGTCCAATGAGATTGGCAAAAATTTATCCCAACATGAGTCCCAAATGTTGGAAATGTAAAAAAGTTGACGGTACATTTTACCACATGTGGTGGCTATGCCCTAAGACCAGGACATACTGGATCCAAATCAAAAATTGGTTACAAGAGATCACTAGGTATCAGATTGAGCTCAGACCAGAAACCTTCCTCTTAGGAATCATCAAAGATAGATTACTGAAAGAAGTAAAATACTTATTGTTACACATTACAACAGCCATCAGAATAGCCTTTGCACAGGTATGGAAAATCCCAAATACTCCTAGTGAAGAACTAATAATACATAAAGTAAAAGTGCTGAGATGAACATGTTAACAATGAAACTGAAATAAAAAGATGACTCTGAATTCTTTTTAATTTGGAACAATTGGTATAAATGGTTAACAAACAGAACTAAGAAGTGAGACAAAAAGCCTAACTGAAATAATCCTTAAGAAAGTAAAACAAAATTTTGTAAATTATATAAAGATATAAGAATAGTAATCATAGTTAAAGCTATTATTTAATATTAGACAAATGTAACATAATGTATTATATTTAAACCAAAAACCTGTACAGATGCCAAGAACACTGTTGATACCATGATGTTTTACGATTTAATAAAAGAAACTCAATAAAAATATATTTCTTAAAAAAAGAGTCCCGGTAAGATGCATCCTCCATTCCAAAAAACAAAAACAAAACAATCCTAACTGCAACACTCAAGCCTCAAAACTGAACACTACCTTCCACCATATATCCTAAATCCATCATAAAAATCCCTCAGCTAACAAAGTACTGCCCGCATTGGTTGTCATCTTAAACAAAGGAGGCATCACTACTTCACTATCAGAATTATAAAGTATAGCAATTTCTAAATTCCTCAAAGGGTAAAGGTATCATGTTTAACACATTATTTAGGTAAATGTACCTGGAACTAGAAGCCCCAAAACACAAACAAATGTGAAATATGCAGTAAAATAACAATATTTAAACTATCTGATTTATATAATTTCCTCTGAATTATTCTCTCACAACCTGCTGAGAGATCAAGAAATGTCACCTTCATTCTGGTTCCATCAGCAGTAATCATTGATCAGTTTTGAATTTGAGTTGCCATGTTGATGGGTTCTACCATCAACAGCATTATTCCCAACATGTGACATTCTGCTTTGTCAAAAAATAAGTTAATCATACTATTTTTACAACTTGAAAATCAGCAACTTACAATGCAACAATGATCTAAACCTTATAATGAACTAGCAGGAAAACAAAACTTGCAGCCCATGCTTAGCTACTGTGGAACTGTGAAACAGTGGAAAATGCAGAATTAAGAAACAAGAGGTGATATCAACCAGATCCATCATAGAAGACCTGGAGAATGGAAGGGCAATTGCATCAGAAAGATCTTGCTTATAAAAATTTCTAATGCTGTTAAGAATCTCTAGTGAATTAATTTATTAAATCTGTAGTCTGAAAATCAGCAGTTATATTGGAAGAGAAGATGGAAAAATCTATCATTTCATGAAGCAACACTTTGTTATTTTCCTCCTAGCTATTTCAACTTGAAGCAAGCCCAAGATGGGACAGGTATGATCCTGCTCTTTACTTAAGCCATTACTTCAACATAATAGGATGACTCTAGAATGAGTTTTCTCAAAGCATTCTGACAGGTGTCTTATTCACTTTATCTGCAAAAAAAATGAGTGGGTAGGAAGAAAAAAAGCTAGGTTTTCTTGCCCTTAATTTGGAGGGGTGGCAGAACTAATACCTAATCTCTATCAGATGTTTTATTCTAGGCTATCTTAAATTCTCCCTGTCCATTTTCAAAGAAGGACTATGAATCACACCAGCCTCAAAGTCACTAACATGACATAGATTCATCCCATATTGTGGTTATTTCATACGCAAGAATAGGAAGATAATAATCTGAGAACAGGTGAATATAAAATTCAGATAAAGTTTTAACAATGACTACCAGTGAAAGCTGGCAGACACAATGCACTGAGAATGGGGAAAGAATTCTAAATGGAACACTTCCTCAAGAGGACACTCCCAGAGTGAATAAGCTTTTGAACACCCATGGCATTCTTGAGTGTTCTCCATATTCTCCAAATATTTACTGATTTCTTCCAGAAATAGCATTGTAAAATATTTTGCTTTGAGACTTCTCGCAACATATACTCATAATCCTGGTAACGTGCATCTTGGTATAAATCCAGAATCTCTTAAAAATGTTCTCTTACTTGCTGACCTTTTCTGTTGTAAGTCGAACTGTCATTAATGTGAAAGAGAAAATTTGAAATGGAACAGCATACAAACTTTGGTAATAAAGTTCCTAAAAATCAGGTGACCAACATAGCCAACATAATATTTGACCCAATGCATTGAAAGCAACTCGGATAAAAGGGCAGCTTACTTCTTTTATCTTATTTATGTTTGCAATATTGTAAACCATTCAATCCCCCGAGGCTTTGGGTTGTGAACAATGACGTGGACATAAAACACGAAGCAAATAAACTTTGTATATTTCAAAACAGCAGGTTAGACATGATCCAAGTCTGCAACGCCTTCATATACTAATCAGTGATCACATCTGAGTTTACTTTCAGGAGAGGAACAATCTCTATCACTTACATATGAAGTTTTCCCAAAGGAAAGAGAAAATAAACCAGTTTTGTTAAAAAGTGGGGAGAGGGAAGGTGCATGGAGCATTCCTCCTTCTGAAAGCAGCATGAAGAGAAAGTGGACGTAATGACACACCTTCTTCGTAATAGATCCTAATTCTCTGGAATCTCTCTCAGAGGTATAAAGTCATTCTTGCATTTCATAGGCAAATAAAATATATCCTATTCCAGTGAACCCTTGGCTCGGGTTTCAATCATAGCAACTAACTCTTTTATTCCATGTTGTATTATTATATAACAGAGTCACCAGTATCCACCATGGCACTGTGAAATAAATAAATATGTATATACGTATACTCACATGTACTCTGTGATAGGTGTAGATGAATCAAGAAAGATAAATAATCACAGTATGTAAGTGGGAAAATAAAGACTTATGGGTTCATTCAAAGAAAAAGGAACTTGTATTGTCTATCATACAATTCCAGTATTTCCTAAAAAAGCACAAGTAACCATGTCAGCAGGGTTTTTATACATTTTATTAAGGAGAACGTTAAAATAGATATGTTATCTTTCAGATGTCCCCTGAAAAATTAATCCTTTGTATCTGCCAGTTGACAATGTGAGTTCTCTCTTTTCCCCAAAAAGCAATGTATACCATCTACATTATTTCCATGAAGAGAATAATTGTTTTTTAGAGCCATGTATTGCTATTGTTAGATTATAACATATCTCAACGTATTCAGTTCAGGACACTTGCACCTTTACAGTAGATCTGTAATGACATGAGTTTTGAAGTTTGTTCTTGCTTTCTGAAGCTTAATCGCTGAAGTAGTTAAAGGAGAAAGCTATTGCAGATATGGCAACTGCCACAGCTATCACCACTCCTGAAAAGAAATTGGAAAAAAAAGAAAGAAAGATAATGCAAATTGGTATTTCAAATGAATTTTAATTCATCTGCAGCCAGAAACTGCACTTTTACTAGTTTAATTTTGTTTATAGTCTTTCTCCTGTAGATCTATTTTGGGCTTCCTCAGGCAGGAGAAAAGTATATTAATAAAATAAAGAGTATCTGGAACAGCAAAAGAATGCTAGAAAACCAGGAACCAAAATAACTGAGTCAATAGGCAACGAATGTCTGCCGGCCTGCTTGTTTTCTACTAATACTCCTTCTTTAACAGACTTTAGGACTTGGTTGCTTAGCAAAACAATTGCTAAGTGAAACTACAACTGTACTTACATTTTTACTTCAACTTTCCTTTGCTTGATATGGTCATAAATATGAGTACTGTTTGCAAAATTATTTTTTCATCGTTGTTATAACTTAATTGTTGTGACTCAGTCTCTAGCTACCCATCCATCCATCTATCCAAATTTATATAGACCCCTACCCAGTGGTGGGATTCAAAAAGTTTTACCACCGGTTCGGTGGGCGTGGCTTGTTGGGCATGCTTTATGCGCGTGCACACACTTTGTATGTGCGTATGCGCCAAACGCACCCTTTGCACAGGTGCAGAGGCATTTGTGCAGGCGCAGAGGCGTTCCAACTCACCTCCTGCAAGCCTGCACTCTCCTGGTCGCTTCAGCAGCTGCCATGCAGCACTCTGCTGTGCCGGGCAAAGCAGCTGTGCTTCAAAAGCAGAGGATAAAAATGAGTATGGGAGCTCGGGTGAGCAGGTGGACCCAACAGCAGAGTGGCAGAGAGAACTGGTTCAGTCTCCGCTGCTCATTGTCGCTACCGGCTCAGCCGAACCAGGCCGAACCGGTAGAATACCACCACTGCACCTACCTCACAAATGTGACTCTGGATGATTAAAACAATCTTAAATAACCATTAAAACAATTAGACATAAACGGAAAGAAGTCTGTGTGCAAATGCTTCAAGAAAAGTGATAAATCTTACTAAAAGTGACTATTTTAAGCGGTTCAGGCTAAAATATGCATACCCATATTTTGATGTAGTTTCAACAATAGCATTTCTTTTGTCACTTGCTTTGGTTGTGTATTATCTTGGAATTCCTTTGTCAGGCTAACTTCAACTATAATTCAAAGAAATAAGACAAAAGCATGAGTTTGTATGTTGCCTGAACATCTCTAGCCCAATGTTCCTTTTCTTCGTCAAAAATTTAAAAAAAAATTTTTTTTTTCCAGAACTCAGGATGGAAAAACCAAGTCTATGTATACAAATTCTTGTTACGTAATTTAATTTTACAGACAAGATATAAACAGCCCTGGATCTTACATAGACACCACTGCTTTCAACTCACACTCAGGGGCAGATTATCCAAATAAAGCACATAGAATAATTTTTAAGATGCATATTAGTAATTATTAAACACTTGGAATGTTAAAGAATCGAACAAGGAATGAATTGCACTATCCTTTGAAAAAACTCAGAAGATTAAAACAGTCTTGTATTATTAATTTCCCATTTGTGTATAGCCAAATGTACATGATTTCTTTCACACAAAATTTTCGCAAGGATTCTTGCATAATACTCAGTATCAGCAATTCTTCTATGCTATACTTATTATTATTTGAAAAGATAATGTATAAACTATGTAAATAGAAACTTTTATATAAAACCAACCCAACAATGGAGCAACATTGTACAACAATGTCTCCCCAAATAAAGAACTCACTCAAAGCAAGTCAATTTTTTTCAGTATTTCCATCTATGATCGTTTTTCTGAATGCTCACAGTAAATAAATACAGTATAAAAGCAATGAGTATTTAAATTTAATAGTCAATGAAAACCCTTCATAGTTACAGCAGATAAACAGAGAAGGTGTTAATCTATTTTGGTATTAATTAATATAAGCTATATTTTCTGAACTGTTCAATTTTAGAATATTTAAAAGCATTTTTCAGAAGAGAGAACTCCATGTTACAATTTGCCAACAAGTAGAATGATTACTAAAATCATGGAGTAATTATTTTGTACATAAGTAATCAATATTTATATAGTTGAAACATCTAAGAATCAACAAAATATATTCCACAAGTTAGTTTATTTAATACAATGGTATATTTATCATTGTAACCAGTCAGAACTATTTTTTTTAAATGCTAACTTATAGGAGAGCAGTTAAGAGGCATAATAGTATTGTGTTCCTTAGTTACTGGAAATTCTACCCAGGTAATTTCTACTAGACAATGTTGAACGTAAATTTTAGGATGGTGTCCTAGGACAACCTGTCCCTTAGTTTTTTCACAAATGTTCCTTTGCAAATCTGAATATCCCATGTGGCTATCAGATATCAAAGCAGGTACACCTGGAATCTGTGTTATTAAAATTGGCAGTGTCATATTCATTCTTTCTTAATAGGCTGTGAGGTATTAATGTCAAAATAAAATAAAATAAACTCAGCAATTTGACCAAATAGTTTTTACACGTTTTTGCTGTTTTTCTAACAAACACTTCTTTAATATTCATAATGGGGAATGAAGAAATAAAATGAAATCTGAAACTGGCAGACAAAATTTAAGAAACATAGCCACCCCATCACCCAAATGTATTTCAACTTTTAAAAATCCAAATTTGGCCACAATGGAACAATTCTGCTTGCCTTGCCATGGAAGTCATCTTAATCACAACTATTCTAATACACGTCATGGCTACTCTGTCGTGTAGAGCCAGGATGCCCAATTCTTGGATTCAATAAATCTTCAACTAGATTAAGAATAAATTAAAGGGAAGAGATTATCCTCAGTGAGGTACCCACAATCTTATTTGTGTTTCTCTGTTCAAAACCTTCAGTAAACAGAAACTCAGTCAAACCACTTAATGTATATCTTACTTTTTCATGATAAGGAACAGAAGCTGCTAAAATACAGATCTGTGAAGTACAGTGAAGTAATCTATCAAATTATCAGTTGCTCGAAGGATCGTGCAGGCATGAAGTTGTATCTATGCCTGCAGCTGTATTGCAATGAGCACGAACACAGAAAAAAGCCCTTCATGCTTCTAGTCCCCTTAGGACTGTTTGTGGATCAATTCCAAAATAAAATAAAGATAATTAAAAGGTTTTAAATAAATATAAAAACTGACAAGGTTTTATTCAATGCAATAAATTACATCTAGCTGTGGTCATTGAGCTAAACTGAGAAACAGTTCACTGAGAAACACTAAGAAAGCAGGTCTCTATTTTTCATTAGCTGCTTTGTGTACTATTATACAGCTGCAAAGATTATACAACTGCAGATAAAACATTTGGGATATGGAGATAATTTTCTGAAAATCATCTTTTGTTTCCTTTGAAGTGCTTATTCTCTAAGAAGCCAACCTCCTTGTGAGAAGGGTTTTGGGAGAATTGTAAGCTCATTTTCTGAATTTTTTGGTTTTCATGTTATCCAAGAAAGTGAATTTGTGGTGCTTTTGTTTAGGGCTAAGCTAGACAAGATATAAAAGATCCAGTCTTTAATTGGAAATATATATATATTTATTTTTCTGTGCTTCAGCTAAAGATTGTTCTATAGCTTACCATTTATGAAAAGGCAAACATAAATGTGCCTGAATGAGCTTCTGATACTAGACAGAAAAAACTGAATATCACTATTGTTCCTACTTTCTTTTGACCTGGGCTATGGTCTGCTTCAAAACAGGAGTCTACCAAATTATTTTAAGCAAAAGATAGATCCTAGGACATTTTGTTGAACATCTTCTACAGCCTTAGTTGATCCTTAGCTCCAAGGAAAACTAATAAACATACTTTGATCATAGAGTTCAAAATCCCCCTAGTGATTAAGTTCCTTTCAAAAAATTAAAATAATATACATTTTAAAATGCTTGCATTTAAAATGCTATTTTGCAATGAACCATAATTTAATGCCCTTAAGGTTACTGGTTACAAATTTCGAAAGTGGGAAAGATCCTAACCAATTTTCCTCCAAATATCACAGGAAAATGTTTTGGACATACATCCTGTGCTATTGGAAACCATTAAACGTAATGAACATTTGTGAATCTGAATTAAAATGTGCTTCAGTTTCAGGTTTGGTTTCTGAATAATTCCTAACAGAAAACAATCTAATTCTTAGCGGTTACATTTACCTGTATTTATTTCCTCAGCAATATGCAAATCATCTGATTGAACAGCTTGATCCATCATATCAAGAAAATGCTCCTGAATTTCCCTGATTGTCTCATCACCAAATTTATAATCACAAAGCAACACATTGGATCCCACAATGGAAGTGAAAACTCTACAAGGTAAGATGTGGTATTCCCTTTTGGAGTCTAAAACAAAATAAAAGAGAATCCCTTGATAATTACTAATAAAGAAAGCTTTAAGAGCACTGTTATATACTGCTCACACTCTGTACACAAATTATGGCTGCACATATCATTTTTAACAGCGTTAAGACATTTCATATATGAATGAAACACATATACAGCATTACTACTTTTGAATAAGTGTGATAATACACCAGCAAGCTCCCAGCATCCAATTTACATTAAATTGACTTCTTATACATTTAGAGTGTGTTGAAGAGTGTTGCAGGCATCATTTGGGTTAATTGGTAAGAGATAACGGCACTGACTATTTTACCTAGTTGGGTAACGAAATGTCTGCAAGCAATCAACTAAATTCAGAGCGCATAGTTCAACCCTGAGCTACATGTATTCTCTTCTGTTGAGGCAAAAGTAGGATTTGGGAGAAAATGGTCTCAAAACTCAATTTCAAAATGACTGAATTTGAGCAGCACAATTGTGTCCAGGATATATGTTTCCTTGTGTTTTTTATATGGAGATAAGGAAATTTTAAGAATGGAAGAATGATAAGGATGGTTACTCCTATCTATGTCCCCCACCCAAAAAGCCCCTCAAAAGGACAAAGAATGAATGGGGAAAATGCATTTATACTTCTGATGACTTCTGAGCATCCCTGGATTGTCTGTTGTGAACCTTCTAAAAATTGGAAGACTGGATTAAAGGCTCCAATCCCTAAAACAGCATCCAGACCCAAGATAGGATGAAGTACTAATTGTGCTCAGCAGCTGACTGCTAAGCACATCCTATGAAGTGGTCAGAAAATATGATTTATTATTATATTACTGTACAAGTATTAAAGATGTGTGGCTTCTCTTGTCACAACGCAAATTTGAAAGTCTGCGCCATTTTATTATAATTATAATAATTCTCATCTCCATGCTCCTCATCGTAGTTACAGGGAGTAAAGACATTTTTATCTAACTGTGGTTTTTTTTTTTCATTTCTTTTAAAAATGATACTTTTAATCAAATACTGCTTGCTGGGCAGAACAAATAACTGAGATTAGAATATCTTTCCAATCCATGTCATCAAAAGCATATTCTCTATGAAAGATAGGACACAGTGAATCAAAAGACTGTTATTTTTGCTGCAAGAGAAGATTATAAGTAATTGGCAACATTTTCCACTGAATACTGTAAAATCAAAAGAGGACATTAAGGAACAAGGAAACATGGATGGAGGTGGAAAGTAATTCTGAAAGATTTATGTCTCAACAGTAAAATGTAGTTAGCATACTGTGTATCATGCAACAGCATTCACATATATACACAACATATTCTACTTGAAGAGTTAATTAAAAATTATAAGTGACTTGGCCATATTAGTTAAAAATGAATGCTTTCCAAAAACAGGTAAATTAGGATTGTGAACACTTGTATATTTCTACTCGGTACATGCAGGTAACAAAAAGGCAAAACTGTTTCAGTTTCTAATATATGAGGCCATAAATGTCTGCTCGATCAGTTCTCCAAAAGAAGGCAACAGGAGATTGTCAATTTCTGAGAAAAATATATATGTAAATTAAGTGGATACGGTGTCTGGAATTCCCTTTCTACCATATTGAAGATTCCAGGAAAATGCTGGGATGCCTAATATAATTTCCTTCAATATAGGGCAGCATAATTTGTCACAATGCCAAATAGGTTGCAGTTTTATTCAAACATCCCTTACTCATTTTCTAAATATTGTGACAGAGAAGTTCAAAATTAAAATGCTTATAAAAAGTGCAATTTTAGAAGAAATGTATAGAATAATGCATATGCAATGTTGATGCACTTTCTAAAAATCACACCCTTATGTGGAAATAAGCTCAAATAAAATTAGTCCAGAGAAATTATTGCATTTTTCAGAATATAAGATGCTCCGAAGTATAAGACACATCTAGCTTTTGGACAGATAAACAAGAAAAAAAAATCTGCCTCTGCCTCCCAGCAATTTGCCTCCTTGCAGCAAATAGCAAACAGCCTGGTCAGCTTCAGCACAGCCTGATTAGCACAAGCAGCTGATTGTCAGTTGGATCGGCCTTCTAATGATCAGCTGTTTCAGGCTGTAGGGATTGCCATCGCCTATTGCCGCCTCCATGCGCCCCGTTTTTGCCCCATTCCAGGCGGCAGAAAATGGGGCGTATTAAGGCCAAAAATGGGATGCGGAGGCCTAAAATGGGGCACACAGAGACGGCAATAGGCGATCCCTGCAGCCTGAAACAGCTGATCATTGGGAGGCCAATCCAACTGAAAATCAGCTGTTCGTGCTAAATCAGGCTGTGCTGAAGATGCCCAGGATGTTTGCTGCAAGGAGGCAAATCACTGGGAGGCAGAGGCCAAAGGGAGGGGACCGGCAGGTGTGCGGTGGCTTCGGCAAACATTCGCTGTATAAGACGCACAGGCATTTCCACCCACTTTTGGGGGTGGAAAAAGTGTGTCTTATACTCTGAAAAATACAGTACATTAAAGCATATGGTTGGGTTATTGGGCTCCTTCTGGTCTTACTTTTCTTTCCTGGCATTTCATTAACAAGTAGATCTTCAAACAATATTTCACAACGATCAGAGAGAGTGTTTATTATGTCTCTCTTCAAGGCCTACAAAAGAAACACAGAATAACATGTATAAAAGTTATGCATGTACAAAACCCACCACCCTGAGCCAATCTTTGGAAGATCCATGCAGTCAGGAAAAGAAATGAAGTGCTCTGGAGTACTCTGCAACATTTTGTTCCCAGTTTTGTACATTCCTGATACACACTCTTTATAAAACATATAATATACACTTAGTAACTGTTATAAAAAGAATTGATTTCATTGCTAGGAATGCTGACTCTGAAGAAAACAAAATGCATCCATCTTTGCAGAGGAAAGAGTATGTGACAGAAACAGATTACATGGCATACTATGAAAATTCAGCCTGTCTTCTAGGCAAGACTGCAGGCCAGTTTGGGAGATTGTCACAGAAATGACAGTAGAATCTTCTGGCTGCAGTAATTTTTTAAAAGATTAAACTATTGGAAGAGAGGCCCCTGCTAATGTGCATCCTGTTTGATTATTATTCCCTCACACAGGAAGATTGTACCTATCACTTTATAGAAATTAGGCAGACACTTAAAATGGATTGAACTTCCCAAGGGGCTCCTATATATTTAGTTTGAAATCAAAGACAAGAAATGGTCCTTATTCTAATCATCCTTCATTCCTCAGACATAAGTAAGAGCCCTGGCTATGTTCATATATCACACTTTGTTGGAAAAATCATTTGTACAAACTCAGGACGTATTTGTACAAAACATAGCATAATGAAATCATGACTAGACACGATTTTTTTATTACCATTGAGTCATGAAAAAAACCCATATGACAATATCTCCCAGATCTTAACTTGAAGAAAAAAAACCTTTAGAATAGTTACACTTTCATTAAAAAACCATTTTTAAGACCATCACCTACTCCAGTTATGCTAACCCTGTCAACACTATCCCCAAAACGATTGTTACACAATCAGATGTTTGAAGATGTACTGGGACAATAAATGAAAAAACTAGGGAGAGCTAATATAGATTTGAGGTTCTGTTTTGTCATTTTTAAAGAAAAACATGGATGGAACCTCTGGTCAAGAAATTTTGGACTATTGTAATTATATCCCTTATTTATATTAATTGCTAGGAAAATCAGAGATCTTGGCTGGAACATGAAAACAAGCAAATTTTTCAAAGATGAGGGATAGTAAAAATACCTGAACAGCATCTTTAACTTTAGGCTTGTTGTTATGGATGTAAGCTTTACATTTTAAAGCTCCTTTAAGATTTATGTAACCGTTGCAGATTTGGACTGTAGCTGTTGATCTGGAGTTTGTACTTTGCATCTGAAACAGAGAAGAGGCAGAAATCACAAATTGTACATACTGTATGTTAGCCAATTCCACCCTATCTTTAATAATTGTAAACTCTGCTGTAAATATGAAGTTCTATTTTTATTTATTAGATTTCCACGTCATTGTAATTTCCAAATGGTCCTCTTAGTTACCAACATTAACAGATATCAAAATGTACAATATTGAAACATCCATGGTAAAGAAATAAACATAATAATTTAGGAGCCTTTGTGGCGCAGCGGTTAGAGTGCAGTACTGCAAGCTACTTCTGCAGCCAGCTGCCTACAATTTGCCAGTTCAAATCCTACCAGGCTCAAGGTTGACTCAGCCTTCCATCCTTCCGAGGTGGGTAAAATGAGGACCCAAATTGTTGGGGGCAATAGGCTGATTCTGTAAACCGTTTAGAGAGGGATGTAAAGCACTATAAAGTGGTATATAAGTCTAAGTGCTATTGCTATAATAGTACATTAAACAAGATAGCATTACCCCAGTTATCCCCAAAGGTTCGTTGGAATAGTTTCATTTTTAATAACTTCCAGAAGGCTAATTGGGGAGGGGTGGGGAGAATCTAATTTCCAGAGAGAGGCTGTTTCTACATTGGAAAATGCTTAATGCATATTCTTTATTAATATTTATTACAGTGATCTGCATTCATGCTGAAAGATAATAGACTACCTACAGCCTCCTAAACAAATTAGCAGATATTTCAACCAGCTTTCATTTTTTACCAACTATTCTACATACACTTTCAAATTACTCATGGAAAATGAAAGAGATCTGGGGAAAGAAAAGGAAAACTCCCAGAAAAACTTTCTACCGCTCTGTAGATTTTCATTATTCTTATGTTTGCTGGAGATGGAGAGCCAAGACTGATAATTACCAACTTGCCTAAGGCTATGAACTGATATGTGAGTGAGGTCTGAATACAGGATGTCCCATCTTACTTTTTAACCCCTTTGTCAAAAAGTTTACTTACCAATTTTGTTAAGACCCTAACTTCAAGATTCCTAGTAGCTGATGGCATATATCCTCTTGACTTTTTCTGTAAGGATAATTCAAGTACAGAAGACAGCTGAACTGAAAAGAACATTGGTAAGGTTCAAATGCTAAACTAGAATCTATCAGGAAAAAACATTTAGATATTTGAGTATTTTATTAGGTCTTAGCTGTTGTGAATTTTTTTATATGACTGTGTGATAAAAACATTTAATGAATCGGTGAAGTTTTCCACCCTTCTGCAAAAGCTTATAATATATTTCATAGGCAACACCAAATGTTCTGCAGTTCAGCTAAGTTCTTGATAGTTAATGTAAATATATATATATCTTTGAATCAATCCTGGTAACTGCCTAGACAAGTCTGTGCAGTTTTCTTGGCAAGTTTTTAGAAAACAGTTTGCCCTTGGTCTTTCTATAGCTGAGTGACTGGCCTGAAGTTATGCAGATGCTTTCCTGCCTGAAGTAGAATAAGGACACACTGCCAGTTTTTAACCTGGTGCCTTAACCACTATACCGAAGTAATTCTCTAATACTACGAAGTATTAATTTATTTTTAAAAATGTACTCAAAGTATGGTAGAATATTGAATCAACTAGGCACAACGTATGTTTGTTATCAGACTTGCATGATCATCAGACTGGATAACGTAATGCTTATTCTCAAAGAAAATTCTGGTGATGATAGGATATTTTGCTTTGCTTAGGGTTTTTAAGGTATAAATATTAATAACCACTCTACAGATATTGTAGATTGCATTCTCAAACAATGTGACTTTAATATCTACTTTTACATTAATGCACGTATCGAAATAAAGCTACAATCTAGAAACAGAACAGATACTATGCAAGGATTTACTCCCTTTTTTTGATGCATCTAAGAAGAGGTTAAACTGTACTCTGATTTAGGATAGCCTAAGAATATATGTAAGATCTTTTTGTTAACAAATTAAGAATAGGGATTGAGAACTGAAGCTTGCCACAATAGATAGAAAAATCTGGAAAGAAGAATTACTTGGATCATGGTTGGATCCAATTTTTAAAAGCATAATATCAATCAGCTTAAATTTTCAAAATCATCTTATCAAATGGTATAAATAGAATAATGACATGGAAGAATTCCGGGATCAAGAAGAGACACTAGCTATCCAGACTTTCTGTTATTAAAATTGTGAGTGAAAAAAAAAGCGAGGCAACCGGAAAGATTTTTTAAGAGGCAGCAAACAGATTTACTTGTTCAGATTAAAATACTCTCACAGGAAACTGGATATGAACAGATTTAGGTTCTGCTCCTACTGAATTCAGTGTGGTTCTGCTAAGAGAAATAACATATATTCCAATTCTTCTTGATATATTAAACCAAGAGGAGTGAAATTAACTTTTCTGACTGCCTTTTGGATAAGACTGTGATCTTGTCCTTCTCAATGCAAAATGTAAAGCTAAACTATAATGTTGTATATATATGTAATCAATCATGTTTATTCAGGATAATTTCTAATAAATGTTTGTGGGTTAGGTGGGCAATGTTTAACTTTATTTAATTTACGTTATAGAAACTCACCATTAAGAAACACATTCCCTGAACCAACTGTCTGGATCAATGAGTTTCCTACTCAAGGCTAAGATTGGTGGGTACTTTAAAAACTGTGAAATTCCAAATGGGAGAGATTCTGGTCACAAATACTATCAGGAGAATAATTTTTGTCAAATGACTGAAATGTATGCTTCATTTGCTATGTGAGCTTGGAAAGGAAGTGGAAACTGTGAAAACAGTCAAACATGGAAATATGTTCATTGGAGAAAGTTGATAGAATGCTATGAGGCTCAAGACTAATGAGTTGCTCCCGTTCTTCTTTCAGTAGAAGAATAGCCTTCTGAATCTTTAAAACTATTTCATGTAACAGAAGAATCATCACAGGATAAAATGATGAGCAAAGTATCTATTTGGAATAATCTTTCACTTCTCAGAAGAATAATGCCCTCTTGATTTCACGTGATGCCCGCTGGAATGTCAGGCTTAAAGTCTACATCTGTTGTTGTGTTAAAAAAGGGAAAAATCATCTAAATTTACAATTGTCTATTTGATCTGTTCTCTTATTGAATGATACAATAATACAAGCAATGGAAATCAAGGGAAAGAATATCTGGCCATGTCTTCCTCACCATCACTTGCAGCTGGGAATAGAGTTTTAGATCATCAGAAACATTTTGCTAAAGTGATTTGGTGCCACCTTCTGGTTAATTATGCAGACAGTGGGGAAAATGGCATATAAGAGCATTGATTGAAATAGACAGATAAGGGAGGGATAGTGAAAGTTGGATACTTTCTTTGTCAAGGCATTAATACTTGGATTTTGCCTGTAGAAGGCAGGAGCAGCATTGGATAAGCATTATTAGACTCATGAGACTAAAATAGCAGTGATGATTTCACCGACTAGTTTACTATAAGAAGAATCCTTTAAAGTAGTGGATGATAGAAACTATTGAGGCCATGAATGATTTCACTCCACCTTTCTATGCATTCTGTACTTTGATTACAGACTGAAATCCAGTAGCAGAGTTTACTGTTGCTGATCAGACCACTCTGATGTTGTGAAGAATACTATAAATGGAGTGCCAAATCATTAAACATTCTTACTTGAAGCCACTGGCAGAATAAGAAGAAAGAACTTCTTTAAAAAAAAGCTTTTTAAAAAGAAAAAAACTAAACATAATTATTGGTATTCTAACAAAATATGGAAACAAAGGATGAGACAAGAACTAAGGATCATTCTAGGCTAAAGCAAGAAATAATGAAGGAGGAGCGAGAAAGAGTTAACATAACAGCAGACTTTAATTATGCATTTTTCTACTGTGCTGGATAGTAGGAAAGTTTAAAACTTGGGCTGTTTCATGTACTTAAACAGGAAATGCTCATTTCACCATAAATTGTACAGAAACGTTTTGGGGAGTTAGAGGGGAAGAAAAATCCATATTATACCAAAACAGATCTCTGAATGTATATATGCAAAACTGAAATGAATAAAAGAAAAATTAATGTACAGTTAGTCCTCGACTTATTACAATTGAGCCCAAAATTTATGCCACATTTATTCAGTGAATCACTGCAGTTGTTAAATTAGTGACACTTTGTTGAGCACATCTGGCTTTCCCATTGACTTTGCTTGTCAGAAGGCCATAAAAGCTTATCACATGACCCCAGGGCACAGCAACCGTCATAAATATCAAGCATCTGAATGTAAATTATGTGACCATGAGGATGTTGCAATGGCCATAAGTGTGAAAAATGATTGTAAGTCATTTTTTACAGTGCCTGTCATGCCATCAATATCTGAATCTGCGGGGGAAGATGAGCTGGAACCTGAGCTGAGGGAGATTGAGAGGGCAGCTTCGTTGGCTATGAGGGAAAATGGGGAAGGGAAGGGCTAGTCAGGCCAAGGCATTTCAGGATTAGAACAGCTTGCAGATAGGGAGGAATAGGGGCGGGATAAACATGAGAGACAAAGCTCAGGCACCTGATCCAAGAGCACAGAGTGGAGAGAAGGCGACAATAGCGTGGATTGAACAGGCTACTTGGGAGAAGAGTGCCTTGCCCATCTTCACAAGGGACATCTAGGGAATAAGGCTTAAGGAGACACCGTGGGGAGGGGCATTTGTCGGGAACAAACGCTGAGTTCCTGAAATGTTGAGTGCCAATGTTTGAACTTTCCAAGAGTCCTTGCATTCTTTCTGGCTTTCTGGACTAATTACCTGGATCCTTTGCTTCCTGAACTCCTGGATTTGCCCTGCTGAATTTATTGCTGTGCAGCTTTGGTGTACACAGCACTGGGCTGGAATATTTGCAGGTGCTGCTTGGAGTGTGCTTGGGGGTGTGGTCTGGGACTTGCCAGAAACATGGGAGCATCTGGGGAAATTTGGAGCAATAAAGGGGTGGTTTGAACTGCCAGCTGCTTGTGTTATCTCTGTGCCGTGCCCCAGGTCATCACAGTGCCGTTGTTTAGCAACTGTTCAAAGCGACAATGCTGCTGAAAAAAGTGACTTACAACCATTCCTTGCTCTTATGACTGTTGCAGTGTCCAAACTTGTCCCATGGTCATGGTATCAAAAGGCAGACACTTGGCAGCTGGCTCACACTTATAATAATAGTGGTCTCCTGGAATCATCACCATTTTCATCCTTCTCAGGCAACAAGGAAAGACAATGGGGAAGACTACAGATCACATGATGTCTTGCTTAACGACCATGGCAAAAAGGTCATAAAATTGGGTGCACTCAAGTGATGCCTCACTTTTTCTGATTCCAACTGTGATCTTAAATCAAACACTATCTGTAATTTTTCAAAATGCCCTGAAGTAAGGAGATAAACTCTTCCTCAATCTCTACATGGATAATATGGATTTTTTTTAACCTAAATGTAATCGTAACTCTATATAATAGTTCTGGTGTTTGTTTAGACCTTCATACTGTATATGAGCCCTAGTGAGGTTTATTAATCCTACCTAATACCCATTCATAATCAATTCTAAAAAAAGCCTCTAACTTAACATATTGTCCAAATTTGATCATTAAAAATTATTAAGTTACTGAATGTCAATGTAGTCATTTAGCAGGTTCTGTATTAGTGAATTACTTTAACAAAAGTTTCAATTGTTTTCAATAGAGCATTGAAAAACCTATCATGCAAGCAGCTACAGAGGACAAGAATTTCAAGTTTACATTCTTCACCACCTACCTGCCCTTCCATTAAGTCAGCATCTTCCTCTCTGGCTTGTCCATTTATCAAAAAGACAGCGTCCTCTATCTGTTGGGCCCAACGTCCTAATCCATTCTATAAAACAGAATCAAAAATAAAAGGGAGTTACATTTAATAATCTTAAAAGCCTAAACTGCAGGCCAACCTCCAGATGTTCTCTTCTAAATGTAAATAAATACTTTTAGATCATGAAGCAGACAAGTTCATTCCATTTAATTTTTGATACCAGTCCCTAAAGAACAGGTATTAGCTGTCATGTTTGGATACATCTACAACAGTGTTTAAATAAAATATGTGACATGATCTCTAAGCCACTGTTAACATACTGTTTCAAGCTCATGCTCTTCTTTATCTTGAGTATACACATGCTAGATTACTAATGAAAAGATGGCATGTTTTTATCCAAGTATTGGTTAGTGAATGGCCACTGTTCATTATTTCTATCATTGACATTTACTGTTATATACTAGTATTTTTAAACCCAGAAAGTTATATTTAAACCTTATATTTCCATTCCACTGCTCATTTGATATATCAAGAGTAGCAATGGACAGTGTTCAGAATACATATAGTACTGATGATTTCTCCTAAAATCAAGACAAAAACAGATAGAAATTAAAGAAAGTCCTGTTGGAGAAACAAGAAGCAGTGTGAGGTACTTGCAAGAAATTAGCTGACAACTGTTAGGATACCAAAGAAAGATGTGCAGGTAAAAGACTAAGGAAAGGAAAAAATGACCTAAGGTTAAACTATTCTAGTGAAGAAAGCAACATAGCTGATAAGCATTAAGAATTTTGATATAATTAATAACGCAAAGTGAGGTTGTTTTTAGTTACCCTTGTGTTTTTTTCTAGATTGTGGCTGGCCAACGTGGCAGGGAGAGGAATATGTATATTAACATTAATTGTGCATTCTAAAGATAGCCAAGAAGCAGAAAGAGCATTCTGGTATTTCCAGTCGGCTGGCTTAGCTGTACACTAAAGGGAAAAAAAGAGGCTCAATTACTACAGCAAATAATCCAATAATCTCAAAATATAAACAATAAATCGTCCAATCTAAATGATTCAATCTATGCATTTATGAATTCAATCAGAGTTATCCCAAAGAAGGCACATACAGAATTGTAGTTTGCGTAATTGCTGCTCCCAAACATACTTCTTTCATGCAAATTTTAAACTGGAGCTGGCAGAGCCCCTACTGAAATCTAAGAACAAAGCTATAATTTTTATTTATTTACTTATATCCCAGCATTATTGTTTTCACAAACAACTCAAAACAGCAATATAACACCTAAAAGTCCACCCAGCTCCTAATTTTCTCCACAACCACTACCCTGTGAAGTGAGTTGGCCTGAGAGAAAGTGAATACCTGGCCCAAGATCACCCAATTAGCTTTCATGCCTAAAGCACGACTAGAAATCACAGTCTCCCAATTTCTAGCCTGGTGCCTTAACCACCAGATAAGTGGTTCCACTTAAGGTACCACTTAACGGCAGGTAACGTGGTTGAGATTGGCAACCCAAATTCAATTAGTTATTTGTTCTTACTCAATATAGAACCTACCTTTGGATCCTGCACATCGTAGGTACGACAAAGTATTCGTTTCCAGTTAAGGAACAGTAACTAATTAGATTTAAGAGATACTGCAGTAATAAGAAGTGGTTAAGACTCTTATAATGAAACCACCCCCAGCCACCTCTAAAGATCTGAAACAAAATTCAGTCTGTTCAGGTCACTTTATGCTTCCTTTTAGCTAACATAAGCAACAAACAGAAAGCCATACATATCCAGCACTGTTGCTGGTTTATGTGATAAAATACATTCTGTAGTTAAATATGCACCATTAATACATCTACTTCAGTAACAATAGTTAACGACAAAAAAATAAACCAAAGAGCTGTTGTTATTCTTCTTGGCCACTACTTAATCCTTCTTTTCCCATTCTGTCTCTAATAGGCCTTTCTTTATTATTATACTACAAAGCTTTCTTTACATAAATGGTAGAGAATGAAAACAGCAATATTTATTGCTAGGGAGTAAATATCTTACACTTTGCCAATTAAGGCAAATCACACCCTAAAATAGTAATAGAAAACATACAGTATATAACTGAATCACAGTATCAGTACCATTGGCCAATCTAAATAAGAGAGCTGGAAATTAGAAATAACATAAAAGGCAATGGTTCCTCACTACAGATTTAGAATCTGTATTCCCATCTTTTATGACATGATCATGTTTTTAGTTATGGCAATCTGTTGCAACAGTAGAAGAATCACCATATATTTAATATTCCAGTGTAAGATTAATTAATTATGGTTATGTAGTTGTCTTGTTACAATTATCCAAATAGGTTCAAGAAAAAGAATGTAAAAATATGGCTTTTGAGACAGGCATTTGGAGACACAAATGAATGATGGCAGATCAAACTGGTTGCAGTTTTATTAGCCAATTTTTAAAAAATATTATTATATTCATACTGTAAATTGCTCAGAGGCTCCAGAAATGGAATGGCACATAAATTGTAGCATTAAAATAATAATGAATAGAGATGGTATCAGAATGGAATTCTGATATCTGTAAATACAGTGCTCTGCTTCTTTAATTCCACAAATCTCTATGGAGCAGTTATTAATAAAGGAGAACAAGCAAAGGAACTCACTAAATGTACCATTTAAACACTAATTTCCTCCATCTTATTCTATATTATACACTATATGTTGAACATCCATTCAATCTACTCTATACTGTTGCATACAGTGGTATCTACTTACTAATATAATGGCCTGATACCTCCAACCCTACATACATATTTCACTTCCCCAATTCTGTTAAATCTTCAGTCCAAATTTGTTCTTAAAACAAATCCTTTGACCAGCACAACATAAAAGGGTAGAACCCATCTTTCAATAGAAAACCGTTCCCATAGATTTGAATATAGCACATCAATATATTAATTAACTTATATTGTAAAAATAGCAGGCTATTGGATTTTGTTTTTTGCTTTTGCTAACTTAGATGATAGGGCAGAGGTAGTTACAAAATAAACTAACCTTTATCTAATTTATTTGGAATTATTTGAATTGTGACTGTTATAACTGTGCAAAGGTAAAGCAGAGTTAAAGCCTGAATTACCAACTGTAATTTAGAAAGAGCATAGATCTTATGATATGAAAACAGATGCGAAAAGGATACTTCTTTGTAGTTGAACACAGATGAAGCGCCATTCGATCTGAGACATCTTCTTCTGAGATGCTCCACAATCTCTTTCTAGCTACAGACTTTTCTACTGTAAAAAGAAGCTTGGAGAAAAGCAGAACAAGAACAGAGTCAAGTCTGATTCTTAGATACCTTATCTATCCATCCATCATGATGATGTAGAGTAATACTTAGCATATAGAGTTGCGTTATTCAAACCTTTGTTAGGTATAGCTCTTTGTGTTGCTTAGTAGCGATACCCAGTGCTGGAGACAGGTCAGGTCAGTTTATGCTTTCTTTAGCTACCATGAGCATCAAAATTTGGTAATATGGTAATATATGGTAATAACAGATTGAAAAATGAACACTGAGGTTTATGGTACATGTTGATAATATCAGGAAGGATACCACAAGTGTGAAAAGTAAACAGTAAGATCAATCTAATAGTTTATCCAAGCATTCTAAAGGAAAGGGTGCTTTTATCTTAGTGTTATCTGTTTCAAATATAATTGACAATAATGTACGTAATATAAAATGAAGAGTGAGCTTGGTCCAGGCTCTTTTCCTGAAATTGGCTGGCAAGGAACTCAGTGACTCACTGTAAGCATCTATTAAAGTAAATTGTACTTTGTCAGTAAGCAAATACTTTGCTTCTCCTTTTATGGGAGTATTTCATCTATCTATATGTATGTATCTATGTATGTATCTATGTATGTATCTATGTATTATCGTATGTACCCTGTTTCTCCAACAATACGGCCTCCCCCCCAATAGGAAGTCCCAGCATGTTTTATAGGCATGAAATGAAATTAAGCCCCTCCCCCCAAATTAAGGCCTATATTAAAACATGCAAAATGGGGGGGAATGGGGGGGGGGGCTTGCCGTTAGGAAGTACTTTTGTTGCACACCCGGATATGGTGCTGCCTGCGTTGACCCCGATACGAAGTGCCCCACCAACACCGAAGTCAACATCCAAGCCGTCGCCGCCCGCCCGAAGATGCAAGGGGGGGGAATTAAGTCACCCCCGAAAAGACGTCCTAGCCATTTTTTCAGGGCTCAAAAAAAAAAAAAAGACCCAGCCTTATTATATGAGAAACACGGTATGTACTGTATGTATATATCGTATGTATGTTATCTATCTATCTATCTATCTATCTATCTATCTATCTATCTATCTATCTATCTATCTATCTATATCGTACCCATGGCAATCCATTTCATCTTGGCAACTTACATAGTAGGAAACAAATGTTGTTAACAATCTACAGTAACCGTAAAAAAATAAAACAAATGTTTGTAAGTGAAATATGAATAAAAATAAAACATTACTTTTATTATTTACCTTCCTCAGGATATTTTGAATTTCTTTGGCCAGCTCTGGAACTGAAATGATAAAAACACCAACAACTAGCAGTCCTCCAGGAAGCATTCTTGTTACCTAAGCAAATGAAATGCAAATATATTACTACTACTACTACTACTACTACTACTGGCCTAACCAGTGGTATGCTACTGGTTCGGCTGAACCAGTAGTAAAAAAAAGCCGATGATCAGCTGAGAGGAGGGAAAAAATGACAACCAGCTGAGAGGAAAACTAAGAGAAAAGCGCAGGATCACCCACCCCTGCGCTTTTCTCTTCTTTATCCCCTCAGCTGATTGGTGATGCAGGTCTCAGCTTGTGTGGGGAAAGCAGCGCGCCAGCATTAGGCAAAGCACGCCCACCAAGTCACAACCACCAAACCAGTGGTAAACCAATTTGAATCCCACCACTGGGCCTAACACTCCTGCCTTGAAAGAGGCAGTAGTGCACCTATTTCTTAAGAGGCCATCCTTAGACCCAATGGTTTTTCATTATGGACCAATCTTTTAACTTGTTGAGAAGGTGGTCAGCCTGCACCTGGAGGAAACAGATTATCTAGATGTGTTTCAGTCAGGATTTATAATGGGTTTGAATAATGAGACAATCATGGTCACACTAGTTTATGACTTGTAGCAAAGCCAGAATGGTGTTGTATATCCATCCTTGTGCTCTTTGATCTCTCAGTGGCTTTTGATAGTCATAGTAGCCACTTAAGTAGTAATTTATAGCTAAACAGGTTTGCAATGGCAGTTATTACTATGCCTCACGATAGCCCAATGGATCTTCATGTCCTGGTTCTACTTCCTGCTTTGGAGTAGCACTGCCAGCACCTGCCAGTGGAGTAGTTCCACTGCCAGCACCTGCCTTCTAGGGCAGTGGTCCCCTGGCTCTGTGGATTGGCGGTGGCGGCGGGGGAAGAGGGCATGGTTTCGTACATGCACCACTTGTGCAAATGCAGCTTTGGGAGCTCGGCCGCCACTTGGGCCAGCAGGCCATGGGCCAACACTAGGCCACAGACCAGGAATTGGGGATGCCTGTTCTAGGGTGTACTTTATGCAACATCTTCTCTAACCCCAATATGACAGAAAAATTGTTCTCAATCACTGCCCTTCTGGTGAGTAGAAAGTAAAAAAAAAAAAATCCCCCAAAATGGAAATAGTTCCAATAGTATAATTTTGTGAACCTAACATAGAAGTACTCGATCTTATATTTCAACCCTTTAGCCTTTCCCATTGCCTCATAGGAGATAAAGAAAACCATACTTTATTAGAAGAAAATGATAATACCCATTTTAACTTTAAATATGCAGATATTCAGCGTTGGAGAGAATTAACTCCTTGATTAAGAAAGAAAAAAGAAATGCAATGGTCTGAGAGCAAAACACAGGAACGTTGAACTCAGACTAACCAATCAGAGATCAGCTTGCCAAATTCAAATATAAGAACCAGGTTAGTCCCTTTTCTACTGAAAAGCATCTCATGCTACCTCTTAAAATGACAGCCATTGTTGACAGCAAAACATCAGAATACCAGAAATGATGTATCGTGGTTTTTTCCTTTGCGGAACTGGGATGAGCGTGGCCAGCACATGATGCATCGGGCCCATGGGCCGCCACTTTGATAGGTCTGGTCTAGGTATCTGCCTTATATGACAGGACATCTCACCCACTTGAGAATATCCCAACCTACCTGGCAAGCAACAAAGCTATACTCAATATGGCAAAGCTATTTGATACAGGCATAATTTGAATATTTATTTAATTTAATATTCAATATTTCTTGTTTAAATTAATATCTAAAAACAGTAGAAGGCAGCATTAATTTAAAAAAACAATCATCATTATGAAGCTGAAACAGACTTTCAAGAAAATTCCTTTTCTATGGCTCTGGGTCTGGGGTTCATTGGTTCAGGAAGAATTACCACCTTTAGTCTTGGATGGAGTGGCACTACCCCAAACATACCCTGTGCATAATCTGGGGGTTCTCCTGGACTCACGACTCCTGTTCGAAGAGCAGGTGGTGGTTGTGGCCAGGAGGGCCTTTGCGCAACTGCGGGTTGTGCACCAGTTATGTCCTTTCCTGGATCAGCGGTCCCTACTCACAGTCACTCATGCCCTGGTCACTTCCCTTGATTATTGCAACGCGCTCTACGTGGGGCTGCCCTTGAAGAGCACCCGGAAGCTCCAGTTGGTGCAAATTGCAGCAGCCTGCATGGTTTTATGCAGACTCCGGTGTGCACACGTATCACCTCTCCTGCAGGAGCTGCATTGGCTGCCAATTTGCTTCCGGGTGCAATTCAAGGTGCTGGTTGTCACCTTTAAAGCCCTTCATGGCTTGGGTCCGGGTTATCTGAGGAAACATCTCTTGCCAGTGACATCTACTCGACCCATTAGAGCAAGGAGGCAGGGAATGCTGCGGGTCCCACCCCTGAGGGAGATACACCTGGTGGGACCTAGAAGAATGGCCTTCTCTGTGGTGGCTCCATCTCTCTGGAACATTATTCCTCCAGAGATTAGAATGGTCCCCTCATTAGTACTGTTCCGAAAGGCACTGAAGACCTGGTTTTGCCAGTGGGCCTGGGGAACCCAGAGAGGGATGGAACCCATCAAATGACTAGTGTGACCCGCTGTCGTCAGGGTGGGTGGTGGGTGGGAGTTGGTTTTTGTTTTGTTTTTTGTTTTCCCAAATTTTGTTTTATTGTACTTTACTAATTTATTTGATTCTTTTTGTTAGTTTTTATTGTTTTTATTTTTATTTTTTGTTTTAAATATGATTTTACATTGTGTAAGCTGCCTTGTGTCACCATGGGTGAATAGGCAATATAAATCAAATCAAATCAATCAATAAATAAATATAAAGGAAGATAATTTTTATTACTTGTCTGGCATGTGCTGCTGTCCATTCTTCATCAATATTAGACAAGTCTGTATGGTGGCTTGCACTACTGTTACTTTCTTCCTCTTTTACAGGAGTTCGAATAGCCAGCAAAACATAGTCTCTTTGCTGGGAACACTGAAAAATAGAAAAGATAAAAGTTGTGTACAGGATGAAAAGCAGTTCTTTGCACAATGGCATCAACAGCATGTTATGTAGCTTATGTGTATTTCTAAGAATTCATTTATAGCGTATCTGTGCAGTACACATCAGTAGAAACTTGATTCAAAATGAGAAATGCAGAAATATCAAACTTAAAGCAAGTGTAAATAGCCATATGGATAAAAATGATTAAAACAAGTTTCTTTTTAAGCCCAGAGCTTCCAAGGTACACAAATAATATTTTAATACTCCAGCTACTATTTGAAGCATTCAACATCACTTCTGTTAATAACCATAATAATGACATATTAACTACTGTACGCAGCTTATTTCTTTTCTGTTTATACAGTAAGGAAATCTCAATTTAGATGACACTTTTAAATAATAGCTAATGTACAGATACAATGTTGGAATTATATTTAAATATATATGGAAATGCATATATAATGAAATACATCAATAACAAAAAAGATGTACATTGGTAACTGATGACATAAACTGAGGTGGCATAGTGTTTTCTTCTCAGAAAAGAGTCTTCAAACTGCAACAGAGGAAGCATAGGTGAAAAAGTACAGCAGACTTACCTGCCCTACTAAAAGACCAGTAATAATTTTTTTTGATTTAGCACTCAGGTCTGATAAATATTGTCCCACAGCTTCCTCCACGAAGTAGCTTCTTCCCATTATTGCAAACACTCAATTGCCCAAATCATAAAATGTGTAATAAACGAGGAGATGAAGAAGAGGCTCAATAACCCTAGAAATTAAGGGAACAGACCTTAGATTTCTAATCTTAAAAAGTCAACAAAGGGGAAAGGCTACGCAGAGGTTAGCATCATTGCACCTCATGGGTTATTTTAAAAAAACTTAACTTTTTCATCTCCACCCTTGCAGCCTTCTCAATGCAATTTCCTATACAGCAGCTGCAACCCAAATTACCTTTTTTCGCTTTATTTCATGTTTCACCCTGTTGTCTTCCTCTAAAGCCCCATCCAAAACATTCCCCCCGATTCTTTCTGCCCTTTACACAAGCACTGATGTGTCCCTCTGTCCGTCATCTCTCCGCGCCAGTACTCGCCTTCCTCCCACAGAACGCATTCAGATGACGTAATCATGCGCTTCATTCGTAGCAATAAATAAATAAATAAATCCACCACATCCATTAGGACCACATCCATTTCAAGTATTCTCGGATTCTCTTATGCAGTACTAATTATTTTACTTTTTTTTTGTGTCTCCTATATCGTAAAGCGGCTTCCTGCTTTTCGTGTGACCTTTTAACTTCTATATAAACAAACGAAGTGGCCTCTTCCCAAATAAATTCCGCCACATCCAAGATGGCAAAGGCAAGGCGGCAAAAAAAGGCTGGATGTGTTTCCGGCGGCAGATGAGTCATTTCCATCTTTAGGATAAATAGCAACAGCCCTTAGACTAATATACCGCTTCACAGTGCTTTACAGGCCTCTCTAAATGGTTTATACAGAGTCAGCATATGCCCCCCCACAACAAGAAAGCTGCGTAACTTTTCAACTGCAATGCTGTAGCTTGAGCCAGCGTTTCCCCAACTTCATCGACTTTTAAAGACGCCTGGACTTCAAACTCTCAGAATCGCCTCCAGCCAGCTGGGAGTTGAAGCCATTCATATCAAACACGGAAACCAAAATCTTTCACTCGTCCACCGTTGGTTTCAAAACGCCGACATCCCCGCGATGCAACAAAAGTTAGAACCCCCGTCATATTTCCAAATCCTACGCTTACGCTCACAACAGCTGATCTCGTCATAAATCACGGGGTTAATAGTTATATATTGATTACTAATTATAGTACAGCAGCGTAGCTCTAGGCACTGCTGCGCGTTACGCGTGCGCCGGTTACACGACGCGCGTGCGCTCTTCGGTCGCGTGACGCACTTTCCCATCTTCCCGCTCTGCCCTTTCCGGGGGAAGAGTTAAAAAAAAACAACACCCAGCTGGAGGGTGGGTTGTTGCATGGATAGAGGTGTTTTTCGGCGGGCTGTCCAAGATGGCGGCGGTTCTGCAGCAGGTTTTGGAGCGCGCTGAATTGACCAAGCTGCCCAAAGCCGTGCAGGGCAAGTTGGAGCGATTCCTCGCCGATCAGCAGAGCGAGATCGACGGGCTCCGCACCAGGCACGAACGCTACAAAGTAGACAGCGGTGAGTTGGGGACCGGCGGTCCATCTTTTTCCTGCATGAGCGTCTGAAAAAGAGGCAAAAGAGGGGGAAAATTGGGAGGATTCAGCCTAGGTATTCCTTTATTTCAAGTGTGCTGGGCATTTTCACAAAGGCACGAAACTAAAAGGAGAAAGACCAACTTGCTGTTTTGCCTGTTGCATTGAATTTCCTTTCACCATGACCGGTGCTGGGTGCAGTGATGGATATTGTAGTCAGATGCCTTTTTTTAAATATAAGATGGTGCCGCATGGGATCAAGGGCTGCTTCAGCCAGCCTTAAGTTTTTAACAGTAGAGGTACATACTCAGGATGTTGCCACTTTGAGGGATCGTTTTATACCAGATTTCAGCCAATGTAGTTGTAATTGTGTGCACACCGAGTCATATTAAGAGTCATGAAATTTATTTACCAAGGCTTGTTTTTGAGTAGGGACATTGTCCCATCTGCTTAATATGTTTAGACATCCATTTCAATTTTCAGAGTATGAGAGAAACAACCTATGTGTCCCTATCCTATGAAACAATTTGGCTTAAAGAGTTAACATTGTTTTTCTGTGTTACTGTAGTTGCAATTTTCTTTCCTGTCCTCGTCTCCCCCCCCCCCCCTTTTTAAAAGAAACTTACATTGATGATAACCTTATGATGTGATTGAAAATGCTTGGGGGCAATCTTCAAAAGAAAAAGAGAAACTCAATCTATAATAAATACAGTATTCAGTTCGTTGTGTATGGAGTTCCTGAACTGGCAAAAACATTGTGTGATACCTAGTTAGAAATCACTATACTCTTTGTATATTGAATTTTAAATTTTTTCTATGCCATCTAGAGTCACTGAAAGTGAGTGGGCAGCCATATAAATCCTCCAAATAACTAAATAAAAACATTTCACCCGTGATATTTTTTAAATAACATTGATTTGTTAACAGCCAGGCATTAGATTGTATCCGGGGTTATCCATACTAAGATTAGATTCATTGGGTATGGTTCCTTTATGTAAGTTCTACTTCTGAAAAAAATAAGTTCTAAAGAATATTCATATATTCCCAGCAATATTGCACATTATTTCCTGTTTAGAGGAGGGAGAATTTACAGGACTCCAGATGTTATGGAAATACAGGCTTCCCCACCTTATTTTTTTGTTGATTAAAGTGTACTGTATTCGATTTTTCGTTTAACTGAAAAATACCTACATGCAAAAAGTACAAATAACCACTATTAGCCATTAGTTTACTATTCAATATCTATACACAAAAGCTTTACATTCTCAAAAATGTAAAGATTTATACAGGTGGTCCTCAACTTCCAATAGTTCATTAGTGACCTTTCAAAGTTATATTGACACTGAAAAAAATGACATGACTGTTTTTCCACACATAACGACCATTGCAAAATTTAGACGTTTGGCAATCGGTTTATATTTGTGATGGTTGCAGTGTCTTGGGGTCATCTCCTTTTGCGGCCTTACAAGCAAAGTCAGTAGGGAAACCAGAGTCACTTTACTAATTCTGTGTTACTAACTTAACAACTGCAACTATTCACTTGACAACTGTTGCAAGAAAGGTCATAAAATGGGGCAAAATTCATTTAACAAATGTCTCGCTTAGCAACATAAATTTTGGGTTCAATTGTAGTTTAACCTTTGGACTACCTGTACAGATGTGTTGGCTGCACACATACTTTTTCCCATATCAGAATTTTTTATAACTATGACTTGTTGCACTTAACTCTAAGTCAGATGTTTGGTCAGTGGCTGGGTATTATACAATATCCATTGTATTGCTTATATAAATGTGAGACTACCAAAGGTTGCTGGCTGTTTCATTATCTTAACAATTTCATTGAAATCAGTTTAGGTAGGAAGTAATCTTACATCTGTACTTACATAAATGTGTAAACTTCCTTGATCATAATGTCAGAGCTGATGGGGTTACAGTTGGATTCTCCCAAACCTAGAGAAGGATTGTAATGTTCAGTCAACCTGAACTGTGAGGAAGAAATGGGGCAAATTTGGAGAAACAGTTTAGATATCCTAACTGGATATGGAGACATTGTAGCAAGAGAGAAAATGGTACATGTAAAATTTATTTTTATCCCACCTTTATTATTTTTTATAAGTAAGGTGGCAAGTGCATCTAATACTTCTTCCTCTTCCTAGGCCAAAAATCACCCAGCTAGTTTTCATGCCTAAGGCGGGACTAGAACTCATAGTCTTCTAGTTTCTAGCTTGATCCCTTAACCACTAGACCAAAAGTGCAAAGGTTACATTTTTATTTATTTTCCTGCAAGGGATAATAATATTGAAGTGTATTAATGTGTGTTTTGCAGAGCAACAATACTTTGAAGTAGAAAAACGACTGGCTCAGAGCCAGGAGAGGCTTGTTAATGAAACACAGGAATGTCAGAATCTCCGAGAAGAGCTCACCAAGCTCAGTAAGTATAATTTTGTTAAGTGGGTCACAAAATAATATTACTGTAGTTATACGTCTATATAAAATTTAAGACAAATACTGAAAAGTTTTGTTTTAGAAAATGAACAATGTGCTATTTCTTTATGATTTTAATCATTTTATACCACTTACTGTTCAAGATATCATGAGTGAAGATTGTAAATCTATGTACTAAAGCTACTTTTCACAATAAATGCCGCTCAATAGGCATATGTAAAGTCTCATATATAGGAAGAATGTGGCTTCCAGCTGGTGCATAAGCTTAAAATTACACAAACCAGCAGTGGGGATTTTATAAGGAAATAATTTTTTTTTAGAATTGCATAGCTTATCTATGATTGAGGCGTATTTGAAATGATTAGGCAGCAGTTTTCTTATTTCAGTACCACAGATGTATAAGAATCTTAGGTCTGAGTATTTATTCCTTGGGATAAGAAAGGATATTATTTGGTCATGGTATTGCTATTAAATGGTTTATTGTAATACAAAAATGAGAATGGCCTTCCTTTTGAACACTCTACAGATGAGCAATTGAAGAAGTTGACTGAGAAAAACAAGGAATTGGAAGTTACTCAAGATCACAATGTGGCCATACAGGTATGGATGCTGTCAGTTACACATGTGACAAGAAGCATTCAGAATTGTAATTTGTGCCTATTTTGTATTTTTTATCCTGTCTTTATTTTTTTTAAAATAACTAAAGGTAGTATGCATACTTAATACTCTTCCCTTCTCCTATTTTCCCCACAAGAACAAACCTGTGAGTTGGGCTTGGCCCAAAGTCTCTCAATTGATTTTCAAGCCTAAGGTGGGACTAGAACTTACAGTCTCCTGGTTTCTAATTTGGTGCACTAACTATTAAGTTAGACTGGCCCTATCCACTGAAAATTGGTAAAGACCAGAAAAAATTCAATGCAACTTATCCATCTTTTGATATTCTACATCCATACTATTTTTTCTTTTTCTTTCTTTTTTCTTTTGGTCACATATTTTTGGAATATTTCCACTTTTATATAATTGATAAATGGGTAACATACTCTTTTAAAATAAATAAATGAAACATTTTGCCACTTTCTCCAAAAGTTTTGTTCATCTACATATCTGATGAAATCAGTTTGGGATTATATTCTCATGTAATCAATTTTTCTGACTTTTTTTTTTAGCACAGTGCAGCCTTTTTGGGATTACTTTGCCATACATTCAAAAATATAACCAAACTATTTTCTGACTTTTTTAGCCCATGCAGCCAGCAAAAAATATGTACAGTATGAAGCTTGCACCATAATCATTGACTTCAGTTCATAAGACTATCACCTTTATTCTGTTATTTTACTAAAGCCACTTATAGTAGAAATAGAGCCTGATATACTCTCATATTACATAAGGATGGAGGCACTGTATTTGCAGGATCTTACTGCTGGATGAATCTCAGTGTGGTATTATATGTGATCTTAGATCTG